TCTTTCTTTCTTTCTTTCTTTCTTTCTTTCTTTCTTTCATTAAATATTTGAGACCAAGTTAGTAAAAGAGCAAATGTAGCGAAGAAAGATAAATAAACTCTCTTTCTGTTCTAGGGTGAATGAACAGTTAAAATATAATACCATCTTTTCCACAGTGTATAAAAGCAACAAAAAAGTAAGATGAGAAGAAAAAGGAAATGCTGAATTAAAATATGCTTGGGAAAAAAAAAAAAAAAAGTCTTATCTTCCAGGTAGCTACAGTTTAGCTAAGGGAGATAAATCGACAATAAAAACATGGAAGTACTACTCTCAATTTTTATTTTGTTTTTTAAAGCAACCTTGAACATTCAGTGTACGTCATGTATGGAAGATATCAGCTATTATTAAGATTACTTGTAATTTCTCAGTACTGGATCCTGTGTTCAGGTACATAAGCTATATAAACTTTCCCAAATACGAAATGTTTTGGCTGATATTTACCATACCAATTTTGTGCAACAGATTACTTTTCAAAAGAAAATTTTAACCAAAATGGTTTACTCATTTCTGAGACTCTGAAATTTGGCAGGAAGATGACTTTTGCATTGGGGTCCTGGTTTTTACTATGCTCACAGATTCATTGGAAAATTTACGTGGAAAATTTGTATTTTATAAAGATATAATTTTCACTGAGCATGCTCCAGCTTCAGGCTTCCACCAGGTAGGAAATTAAAGAGGTGTGAATCTGGATCAGGCAAATTTAGGTATATTCTTCCATTTTGCAAGCAAATGATGGAATCAACTTTAAGAATTTGTTTTTCAATCACTCTTTTTTAATGGTAACTTAACTTAGGTACTATTTACCAAAATTATGAGAACATCATGTGGGACTATGCTTAAATCTTAATAAAGTCAAGACAAATCACATGCCGTTTCCCTCCAGATTAGTTAGCCTGTCATGAAATGGAAATGAGGCAATTTTTCTATCTCCACATTGATAGTTTCCTATCAGTTTATTGTTCTCTCCATAATTACAAATTATTTATTTAATAATCTTGCTGTTTATTAAATAATCTTGTTATTTTTCTACTATCAAACTATCAAAGTTAGGCCAACTGGTCTGTAAGTCTCTCTGCCCCCCTTAATCCCTCTTTTTTTAAAAAAAAAACCTGCTATGTTTTCTCTCTGTAATCTTGCCCATCCATCGGGACTTCTCAAACATAACTTCCACTAGCTCCTAAATACTGCAAAAACTAATGTTTAAAAATATTTCAACCACCTACCTTCCATATTCTGGTTTGTGTTTATAACCCATTGATCTTACCTGTAATGTGGGATGTATTTTCATTTTTTTGATAACTGGAGCAAACAAAAAGCATGTAACCTACCCTTCTCATTTGCTGTTTGCTCAGTTTCCACGGTAAACTATGAATTATTACTTGCCTTCATGGCTTCAGCTCTCTCCTACTACTAAAGTATTCAGAGATTTTTTTGTTCATGTTTTCATGTTTTTTTTTTAGTTGTAATGGTTACGAAAATGTAAAAGCAAGTATCTTTTTGTATATGAACTTTGTATATGTAAGAGGTGCATATGTAGTCAACATCATCAATCTGAATCATAGAATCATGGCTGAAGAGCACAGAGGTTTAAGAGTCCCTCACCAAAGGGGCATGAAAAAGCATTTCCAGCTCAAAGAATTCCAAACTGCGGATCCAAGGAAGAGTTGACCACAATCCATACAAACTCCATGTAAATGCCACAATCTAGGAATACTTTGTAATCGACCACTCTCCTCCCCCTTTCAAAATAGCTGCAGACCTACTCCTTCATACAGATCCATTTACATGCTATGTTAGAATTTCAGAATTTTTAAGTCTCTCTTCTAAAAAAAATAAGTCTGATTTCCTACAGAAATGAAGTGATGAATTCACATATGTGTGCACATGTGCAATTTTTGCCTTATTTGTCGAAGTGGGCACCTCAAAGGAGCTGAATTTCTAGAAGTGTGGCACAAGTTGTTGGCAGGGATTGGGAGGTCCGTTACCACCCTACAGGGAAGTGAAGGCAGGCAAAGCAGTGTCCTTTCCTGCGGTGACCAGCAGCCGGAGCAGGGGTCCCTTGGTCACCCATTACACATGGGTTATCTAACTAGGTAATACACACACTCCTACAAACCAGCTGCAACAACTTTTTCCCATTGTCAGGCTGGATAAAAACACGCTGAGTCTTGGCAGTAATATGAATGTATTGCAACAACTTTTGGGGGATTTCAAGGAGTCGAAGGGGTGTTATTACTGGAAGTATTAAAGGCAGGGTAAGTTCAGGGAAGTACTGAAGTGGGAAACTATGAGGGAAAGTTGTAGGCAATATGAAGGAGAAACAACTGACAAGAACCTAGGCCATATTAACTCTTTTGAATGGAAAACTTTTCAAATGGAAAAATGTATTGTTCTTTACCTAAAACTGAAGTGCGCAGGAAGAAGCGCTTGGCTTAAAATTTATAGAAGGAGAAAAAAACATCATCTCTAGCTAGTAACCAAGATGCAAAAATAGAATTCCCAAATATGATTTTTTTTTCCCCCAAGAATTTATAGAGCATATAAAATTAGACATAATCTGTAAAATTCTTCTGCAACCTTAACTCTACTCTTCACTGCCAAGTGAACATGTGTCATCTGTATCAGGCTTTATTTCACATGTAGTGGTTCATTTACTCAGGAAGAATGAAACTTGTATTATTCGATGACATTTTCTGTTTCTCATTATTGGCTGCATTTCACCATTCAGTGCCATCCAGCTCAATGAAATCTCTTTCAGTACAACAAGCTGAGGCAGATACTGTACTACACTATAGGTATTAGTGTCTGTTATTTCCCAACTAGTCTGTAATTTTGAAGTCTAAGAAATAATACCATTTAGGTGGTAGGCATATACCTGCATATATATATAGCACTTATCTGAAGTGCAGAGGCTGCACAGCTGTATCCCAGTTCTATTTAATGTGAAATCCTAGTGGGTACATTGCACTGTGCAGAAGCAGTGGTAAAAGGTATAGTCACTGAAATCCTGATAAATCCTCACTTACTTAGTGTCAGCCTTTGCTCTGGCCTTTACCAAGCTTTTCCTGGGCTCTTCCAACATTTACAATACATACATACATTTAGGCACATACATATAATTTTGTATGAACTGATCACGTATCATCTTCCATCTGATAATTTCAAGGTACTTCACAACTATTCATGAAAACTTTGCCAATTATAAGGTGTTTTCTTTAGAGCTGTGCAAAAGAATAATTTTCAGTGTTTTAACAAATCTGTCTCCTGGACAAAATTTTCTGTAAAATTATCATTAGGATTCACTTTTATCATTATTTTACAGCTAATCAAAAATTTCATAAAAATGCTAAAATTTACAATTTTTCTATCTACAGAGTAAAATACAGGTAAACCCAATTAAAAACAATCGAAGTGAAAAGCACAGATATAAAAATAAAATTTTAAAAAAATCAGATTGTTTGCGATGACAGACAGAGGAATGATCCAGTATTAAAGCAATGGAACGGAGGCTCTTGGCCAATCACACACATGGATTATCTAGTGATTTAATACACAGATTCAGAGATTCAAATTATGGTTTTTACACCAGTATAAATCTTCCTGTCTGACCTGGAACAAGTTACGTGAGCTCTCTGCAACAGATGATCACGTATAAACTGACGATGGTAGTCCTTATCTGTCTCCAAGGAGTGGTGTGAGAAATGAAGTGGAAATGACCTGCCGCTACAACCAAGTTATAGTATTGTACCTTTTCTAATAGATGTTACAATATCTTTTGCAGTAGAGCCAACGGATAACTCAGGTTAATTTTGCTGATGAAATACTGACTAATTTACTAATACAGATGTAGAAAATAAGGCATATTGCATTTGTTTTAACTTTATGATAAACAAGGAAGGTTAGAGATTTTCTTCTAACAACATTTTTTAAGCATTAGAAAGGATAGGTAATATATAGCATTTGTGTATGGTCACTATAGAAAAGTATCACTTTGTAAGTGACTTTAACCTGTACAACCCCAGGTAAGAGTATTTGAGAATTTTCATAGATCTTCAGATATTTTTCTGTTTTTTTCATTGGCTTTTGTCCACCAAATCCCAGATGAACCTCACTCTTACCTTCCTTTTCTCTGTCATATCACATCAAAGTTCTGTTCTTTTTAAAACTGCATGATTGAAAAATTATCTTTTCATTTATTTATTCAGCATTAAACTTGGGATCACAGGGCAGAATCTGAGCCCAGATGAAGACATTACAGCTAAACCTCCAGATGATGATTCAAACTACAATCCTGAATTAGAAACTACTGAAGTTCTGTTGGGAATCTGAATTCTAAGTTTCACAATTTTATCTGATGTTCGCTAGAGGAAAAAAAAAAGAGACACCAGTAATATCACATCTATGGATGTCTCTGCAGCTTAATTCCAGATCCTGTAAAGCCCTGAGTGGTCTTAATTCATGATAGAACTGTCAGGTTTCAGGAATTGCTTGGGCTCTTGCAAGAATATTCCCTTTTTTAAGATAAAAAATGTTACACAGTCTTTCATTTTACTGGTAAACCTTAAGCACATATTTACTTAAAATTTTAAGTCTACTATATAGCAGCTTAAAAATGTATTTACCATTTAAATAGTTTTATTTTTTCTTTATCCTATATAAAAGCAGATTTTAGATATATCTGTTATATTGACTAAACAACTTCAAAGAAATCATCTTTCTGAAACAGTGAAACACCATCATAACAGAACTCAGAAACAGACTGGTACAAATAGTGGAATAAATCTATAGATACTACATCACTTCCATTTTTTGTGGAGTTTCCAGAGAATAGGAAAAAAAAAAGGTAAATCATGATCTGGAGTTCACCATATGCATGTGCAGTAGTAAACTGAATTTTTGATGCCTTGATAGTAATTGCCATTTCATCTTTTAACTAAACTGAGAAAGAGGATGTTGCTTACCTTTGTCTCAATTTGTTTGGTGTCTAGATTCTGAAAAAGGAGCTTTACTCTTGTTTTCCCATCATCTGAAGAGCCTTTGAGCTGAGAGAATTTAAACCTCCACAACACATTCTAAAGAGAGAGAAATTTAAGGACTGTTACACACTCTTACCTAGAAATAAAGATTGATGATCAACGTTTATGGAATAAGATAAAACATTGGGGCAGTAAACATAGCACATGTCAACAGGCTGGTTGCTAACCAAGTAAACTTAACAGCTCTGTACCATATGTGAGAGCAACAGATGCAATATTAATATTCACTAATTAAACAATTATTTAGAAATTCTCTGAAATGTAAACGTTTCAGTTGCCTATATAATATCAAAAACCATGGCAAAAGCTTAATTCTAGAGAGATCTATCAGTACATTTGTATCAGTTTCACCTGAACACAATTCTATACCATATCTCAATCTTTCATGTTTCAGCTGGGTCATCTGCACAATGTAAATAATACTGTCTTACACAGATGTTGCAAAGTTGAAATCCTCAGATAAAAACATGCTATAGAAATGCATAAATGAATTATTGAATGTAGTCTTGCAAAACACAAAAAATATATTCTACATTACACAGTTGTTTGTAAAATATATAAGAATTCTAGGCTTCTTGGTCTCCTACAGGTTTAGGCAATGGCATCTTACTACTGTTGGTGAATCCTAGATTGACATTGACTTCTTAGACAAATAGATGAAGAAAACCCCAACTATGCTACAGCATTGTGATGGTGCTTAGACTTTACACTCATGAACAGATTATAACTGGGTCTAGAGGGCCTAATTAGACCACCGGAAAACTATTCAAAGCTTAAATGAGTTTGGATTTAAATAGGATAGATGAATGTTCGCTATGTAATATAACTGCTAATGTGGAGATGAAACTAGAACTGAGGAACAATTTAGCAATAATAGGCATTGCTACAGTCATCTCTCTCAACAGTTGACACTGAATGGAAAAGAAGTAGATGGGTCTGGAAGGTGGAAGAAAATGCACACTTTGGGATCCTTTTATCTTAGATGAGCAGCTAGAGGCAAATGATAGGAAAGATCAACCAACCAAGCCAACTAGATTAAAAAGTACTCTATTATCAGATACAAAGCAGCTGCAGGTCACAAGACTGTTTCTGTGATGCGGCCCAAAGGGTAAAAGCTAAATGAGTTAAGCTCATGACAACCCTGGAACAGAACATGTATGAAATTAAGTAATTCTTTCAAATAACTTTAAGAATCCCCCAAAACTGTTCTAGAGAAGAGTTTTCTAAAAGACATTTAAAATCCTAAGCAAAAGTTCTTGCCCTTTTTATTTTGTCATTTGTAATAAGAACACCATTTTTATACTATTTTACAGAATGTAATAAAGGACATTTTTTACATTTTTTAATAAGTACATAAGCTGGTTGCCCAAAATTTGAGATACAGACTTAGAGTCATAGGGCAGGCTGGGGGACTGGCCTTCATTTTAATAAGCCTGTCTGAACACCTGCTGTGGTGTAAGAGCATTCTTTGCATCAACAGGTGACTTTAATTTGAAATTCATTGTCTGGAAGAGAAAATAAATTTTTCAGCAAAATTGCTGTGTTCCTAATGAACTGTTCATTGCTTGACCACTTCAATAATCCATTCAGTGTTGGTAGGAAATACTCTGAAAAAGCTATGAGTGTGGGGTAACACAGTCAACTCCAGCTGACACTTATGGGAAGTAAGATGAACTGAGGAACCTGCCCATTATTGCCTCACTAAAGTTTGAGGATGCAGGGGATGTCTCCATCTCTCACACAGATGAACAATAAATGTCTTGAGCGCCCCAGAATTTTTACAGTTTAACAACAGAATCAATCTATCTGATGTTATTCTCTATTTCTCCTTAGGTAAGCAACAAAGGTTGGTCTAAAGCCTTATCATCAGCAATACTGAAGGCACGCACTGTGGCTCAAAGTCTTACCCTTTCTTAGGGTAAGATAGGCAGTATCTTGATTCTGCTGAATGCAATAGGAACAGGATTTTAATTAAGGCTCATTTCCTGATTTTGTATAAAGCAATATCAATAGAGAAGTTTATAATTTTAAAGGTGGGAGTACACCAAATGAATCTTCACATTTAAAAGGAACATTTTATATAGTCTAAACTAATGAGATTAAGTTCTATAGTTAATTTGTGGCTGCAGGCCAAACGTGTACAATTGTGCAAAAAGCACAATTTCAGAATGCACTATCACCTGAGGCAGAGAAAGGTATGCAAACCTTGTATACTACCTCATAGGATACTTGTATACTACCTCATAGGTATATATACCTTGTATACTACCTCATAGGATAGCACTCCTAAGTCTAGACTTTCAAGTAACAATGATCTTGGTCATTATTTATCTGCACAAAATTGCAATAAACCTGTGCATTTTGGCCCCCAAACCCCCAAAATACCGACATACAAAAACTAGATCCTGTGTCAATATTTCAAAATGCAGCATGTTTCCTTTTAATGTGGAATGACTGACTGAATTTATTTAATATATATTAAAAAAATCCTTTCAGTTTGGAGTTGAAGACTGTATTTCAGAGGACAGACCTACTGTACAGCTCTATTAAGGCAGAAATATTTTTATATGTATGTTTACTTCTACTGGCAAAAAAATGTAAAAATCCATTTAGAATAATTTAAATTGAAGTAGCACTTTAAATTATATATAAAATAGTAGAATTACAGACAGGACTTGGAAGTTGGCATGTATCATAACCCATCCCCTGTAGGCTCTCTCTGTATAGCCACTCTGTTTTGCAAGATAAGCGAATTTAATCTTATAGATTATGATTTTGAAATGCATTTGCCCTTGTTCTGTTTATTTTAGACATGGCCTAAATTTCTTACTATGGAAGAATAATTAATCCTATTTTATATCTGTAGCTTCAAAACAAATAGAATCAGGTGACACAACTGACTTTTTTCATGACTGGTAATCTTTTAAAAATCTTGACGTTTCTTGATTACTAAGAAACCAAGTTCTCTGCTAAATATAAACTTCGTATGCTTTTATTACTTGAGAAAGAAATTACTTTTTTTATATCTGTCTTAAAAATTTATCTTTACACGCTAAGGCACAACTATAATTGTCCCTTTCTAGTCTCAAATTGAATACATTTCAGTAGTGCTATATAAATAAAAAGTACAATACATTTGAGGAAGAAATACTTGACATCAACATAAAAAATTACTACTACTGATCAACATAAAAAATTACAGTTAATGATAACATCAATAACAGTAAAATAAAACAGAGTTATGTTTTCTTTTCTTTTTCTTCTTACCTTTGTTTTACTGTCAAAACAGGTAAATCCCAGAGCAAAGTCGACTGTGAAACACAGGGTATCCCCTTGCCAAGTGCACATATATGTTTTAGACTGGAAAAAAAGAACAACATGATTTTTTAGAGAACAACCATAATCATAATTTATCACAAAAATAATATTTTATGCATTTTTTGTGTGGGAAGACACTCAGCTAGCAACACTGGTACTGCTTTATATTATTACATTTTAAAATTGTCGAAAACTTCTGAATGTAGGTCAGTATCAGATCTGTCACCTAGATAGTAACTGGAGTTCTATATTTCAAGTCACTCTTCCAAAAAATAAATACCATACTCCTGGACACCGTCCCTTACAACATGCACTACAGAATAAACAAAGCCAAATCTGGCTATTTCAGAGCTTTTGGAAAACTGCTTAGACCTGACCTATTAATTCCTTCTGAGATATTTTCCAGCAAATGTGCAGGTAACAGTGCCTAAATGTTTAGTGATTGCAATCTAATTATAAAAAAAAGCTATCTGTCTACTTGACCTCTCTGTCTGATTTAAACTTTGTAGACAGTCTTTTTTTATTTTGCAACATTTTTTATTTTGTAAACTTGGCTGACATGCCAGTGCAGCACCATGTTACTTAATAATAGTTAATATAATTTAATAAGAAGACCTAATAACTATCACTCATTAGTTAGCACTGCTACTTGCTAGGCAGTGCTATATATAAACCAATTCTTTAATCATATTGCAGGTTAGAAAGAAAAATTCTGTTCTATTAACAACACCCAGAAGTTCTGTTTAAACTTCTGAATAAGCTTTACAGCAAAAACTCCATTAACATTCTTCCTTACATGTGTTTTTAAGGCTAGCTAACTTGGGTCTATGATCCAAAGCATAGGCACATGAAAAAGCTTCTGCTGATGATGTAATACAAAACAGCTTGATGACATTCACCATTCACAGTTGCCTTCAGCATGAGTAGAGATCAGATCCTGCCTCCAGCCTTTCCTTACCTCACCTTGGCAGCCATTTATAACACGATACCCTTGTGCTTTATGACATCTTTTGATTTTTTTTTCTTCCAAGGGAGCATTACTTTGCTCTCATTGATATTTCATAAACCACAATGTTGTCTTGCGCTTAGACATTTGTTTACATTAAATTTTTCTATCATCTGGAGAGTTTCTTTACATTCCAAAAAAATGTTTTTAACACAAGAATGGCCTAGAGGAGATTGAAAGCATTAATAAACTTGCTTAAGTTGAAAATTGTCCTTTTAATTGTTTTTAAAAGATTTTTAGTATAATTTAAAACTTCTGTATTTAGCAATTGTAAAGGTTTCCTCATTCCACTATAAAGAAAATGTTTGGAATTATACTAAAATAAGCATTTCTGAGTTACAGATAAGACATTTTATAAAGGATTTTGAAAGGGCTGGGAATGAAATTAATTTATTAGTACAGATTAGTATTATAATCAGCTCAACAATGACAGAGATTAATATTATTTCTGAATAAATTATTTTGCTCATTGGTGTTCAAAGATCATATTATTTGGCATTTAAAAGATTTCAGTGATTGATATTCAATTAGAACAACATTTAAATATCCCTACATTTTATTCAGTAATTATAAGGTGGCATTAAGCAGCAGTCATAACTTATTCTCCATTATTTTCCAATTAAAAAGGTTATACTAGCTGAGCTTTGACTCAGCAAAGCAATTTTAAAAACATATTAAATTAGATTCCCCCAATGGGTAAGCATCTAATTGCTCAGCCACAAATGGTGAATACTAAAATGAACTATGCACAAATAATTAGCCTGGAGTATTTTACAAATATTCAATATTTGCAAAGAATGGAATGGGTTTGCAAATTATTTGCAAATACTAGAGACAAACAGAATATGCTGCATTTTCACTGTGATAAACATTACAAAGAGATATATAAGGTTTATACTTTCAAAATACACTAATAGCTTTTTCTTTACAACAGAATTAGTTTGGGTTTTGCCATAAAAATTTAAAAGCCTGCCTATGGCATTTCCTCAGTGACTTTGACAGGTTCTCAGAGAGCTCTGCGATAGGGACCCCCATCTCCACTCACTAACACAAGTACAGAGCACTGTCCCTTTTCATCCCTGCCTTTGCAATAAGCCTCCCCTACACTTGCAATTGTGGGATCACCCTTGGTTATCTACAACAATTTTTTACATGGAAGTTTAACATAAGAAATCTAGGCTTAGCTGCCTTTTAGTGAATTTTGCAGAAAATAAAGTAGCACTGCGTATTAGCCAGCTTGAGAACTCACAGTTTAAGTAACAGGAAAAGAATAGGTTATTTTAAAAAATCTCCCTTACCGATTGGAAATGAGATTTTTCTGGGCTTAGATTTAATACTAGCTTATCAAAAACACCTGGGGATTGTAAGCAGAGACAGATGAGAACTACAAGGTTATCAACCTTAAGATATGCATTAAAATATTTTCCAAGCATACAGCTATACCCTAATAGCCACAGTAATTTACATAGCTCATACACATATGAAAATTCAAAACATTAGCAAATGTGGTATAGTGACCATCTGTGGCTTGTGCTGCTCCAGACAAGATGTAAAAGTTTTTCTGGTTCTAACCTTGGTGATTCTGAACATTATGGGGATGTAGACTGGGAGTTTAAGCCTGATGAGATTCTTTAGTCAAAGTATTAATTTAGTGTTACAAGGAAAGCCTCATGCCTGAACTGCAGCAGCTAAGAAAATTGTAGTATGCATCCTAGATCAATTATTTAATGTTTTCCAAGCAATGGTGAAATGAAGAATAATTATTTGTAATAAAAGACAATTACAAAACTCTCATGTGTGTATTTGTTCAGGTATCAGTATCTCAATGTATATACCTTTAAGTCATGAAAAGATCATTAAGTTGGAAATATCACTGTCCAAAGAACAGTGTTTCTGACTCATTCACAGGAATTGCTTAGACCTCCTGTTCCTATCCAGCAACATGGCACTGGTTGATTGTTGGCATGGGTATCCGTCCTCCCAGATCTTGAGAGGGCATAATAGTTACAATGGCTACATATACACACTCACTACCTTTCACATAGACATTGCCCAGAAATAATTCGTTTTTGATCTCTGCTCCTCGTTTAGCAGACTGTGTCAGGATCCTGGAGCTCCTGCCCTCCCAATGGCAGGTTCCATTGGAGCTGTTCTGCAGACCCACTGGATGTTCCAGCTGCTTCTTCGGGCAGACTTGTGGTGACCAGCACGACGCTATCATGGTAGCACTGCACTGGAAATGTAGGCAGCATCACACAATACTAATATCATTATGCACTAATTAGCATTATCTCACATACTGGCAATACCAGTCTTGAGCAGTCCTGAGCACATGTACTCTCTGCTTATCTTGCCCATCCTCCACACTGGGTCCCCTTCACCAGAGTAGCTCATCTGAAAGCGAGCAAGCCTCTTCGCTCCAAAAGCCGGTCACAGCTTTTCCTTCCTGCTAATGAAATTCCTGCCTCTCCTCAGCAAATCGCTGACAGAAAGCTGAGCTCTTGGCTGTGCATGAACTGCACGGGACTGAGATTCCTGCAGGGGAGTAAGAAGGGTGGGCAAAGAGTTAGGAAAAAAGAGTCCTGGAAGCTCCATGATGGGAAAAGAGGGCGTGCATCTAGGGACATGGGCTGTCAGCCAGAGTGTGTATGTACCCTTCTATTGCAGCCTTCTGAATGAAATTAAGTCCCTACGTTTACCCTAGGCCAAGATTTCAGCCCTCTAACTAGGTCACATCAGCTGGTCATTAGTTTGTCTTTCACTCCCATCCAAAAAACTCTTGAAACTTCCACCCCAGCATGATCCTACAATTAACTAATATTGTGAGGCTTGGGGAACTCTGTACTTCTATTGTTGTTGTTGCTATCCACATCAATTAGTATCTTCCATGACTTTGCATACATCTTAGAATCTGCAAGAGGTAATTAGCACTGAAGGGTAGGGTCAATTACCTTTTAAGGGAAAAACCAGAAAGGCTTCTTTCATGCTTATCTTCCATCACTTTTTACAACAGGGAGAGGACAAGGGACGGCTTGCTTCAATACTCTAAAACAAAGACTGATGTAGGATTCTGTCCAACAATGAGAACAGACTTTACAAATATGCTCAATAACAGGCCAATTAATTTCAAAACTGGCTTTTATGATCATCAGTTACGATGACTCTTTCCCTCAGAAGGAGGGAATGTGTTTGTGAACAGATCTGCTAACCTAACAAGAAGTGCTTTAAACGTGGTTCATGGGTGTTAGGTACCCAAGTCAAGAGGCGAATAAATGCTGAAACCGGAGAATGAATGCAGGGGAAAAGACTACAAGAGGGACTTTCTTATTCCCACTCAGGTAGGAAGGCATACAGAAATATACCTCAAATATCTATACAGCAAGAGACAGAGCCTGGGCAGCAAACAGAAAGGGGAACCATCTCATGTAGTCACTGGTCTATGACATGGTTGGAAGGACAAAGACTTGCTGGGTAATAGGCACCACTGCGGTCCAGACACAGGCTGCTTAGGAAGGAGAGGCAAGGAAGAAAAAAAGGACCCCTTCTCTTATTGAGTTGCCTTCTATGTGTCGGGGTCCTTGGCCACAGTGAGCCAGAAGGAAGACAGAAGGAAGCGAGCATGCCTGCCAGATCAAAGGTTTCCTAATTTCGGCACAGACACGTGTCTCCTGGGTAGGCTGAGTTAAGTTTGGTTGCTTCAGGGGCTGTGCAGTCCAAATGCTTCTAAATAAATCTAGACATGTAATAGATTTTTGTGCTTACTGGAATATAAGATTATAGAAATGCTTTGGCTGGGGGGCCTAAATTTGCCTAAGTCCTGTCACAGGTGTCCAATGTACTACCTATGGATTTTTTTCAAGACATACAATCTTTTGATGTTACTCTGGTGTGGGATTGTATTCTGTCCAAGAAATAGGAGTTCTACTTGTTTATGTTTTTTAGTAAAATTCTTTAGACTCACACTACTAATGCCTGCCAGTTGCAATGTTACATTCTGAGATCATCAACAAAGATTCACAGTAAAAAAATATCATTT